TTAGCTGTTAAAGGTAGAACTCAATGTACCTGGGCAATAACCTGGTTATCACCAGGGGTGTTACTCTTCACTCCTTTGAGTCAGTTAGCATTTATGTCCAAGTGTGTTAACACACAAATTATTTTACATTCTTTGGTGATGCTTTCAGGCAGAACACATTGGCTAGTTGCCCTGTGTGTGTGTGTGTGTGTGTGGCCCAGGAATATATTATATATGTGTGTGTGTGTGTGTGTGGTCCAGGTACTGTATATATTACATTATGGGGACCAAATGTCCCCACTATGTAATACTAACTTGATATTTTTAAGTTGTTTGATGATGCAGGTAGGTGAACTGGCCTTTCAATTGCCCTATGTGTGTGTGTGTCTGTGTGTGTGGTCATGTATATATTACATTGTGTGTGTCATGACCTGCTCGTACGTTCCTCGTGTGTGCACGCCCCCTCATTACCTACGCGTGCTACCCCTATTGTGATCACCTATTGCCTGTTATTTTCTGCTTGTCTTATGTATTTAGTCCGCGTCTGAGTTAGTTCTCCCCAGATCGGTCATTGATGTTCGTAGCTGTCAACCCCGTTTGTGCCATTAAAACCCTATTACCGACTTCATGGCTTTGCTGCCTTCCTGCCCGCTGGGTGATCTTAACAGTGTGGACTAAGTGTACCTACAATGTGATAAAAAAAACTGTTATTTTCATTTTTCAGCCCCATACAAGGGTAAATTTTATTTTATAAAAGTCTGTGACTGCAATCAAAAACCTAAAATTGCCAAAAGACTTATACTTTGTTTGGTTCCTTATGGTTAAGGTTAGGGCTGGGTAGGGGTTATGGTTGTCATTGTTGGGATTAAGGTTTTTCCCATAGAAAAAAATGGACGGCCCCCACAAAGATATGAGTACAGGTCAGTGCGTGTGTGTATGTGTGTGTGGATTGTATGCCTGTATTCCAGGTTCTGCCTACAAGTGAATTGGAGCCTCAAAATTGCCCATAAACTAGGGGTACCCTGTGATGGACTAGCATCCCAGCCAAGCTACAGTATTTCATTGCCCTCTGCTGTGTAGAATAGACACCCATGGACAATGTTCTGGATAAGTGCTTGGAGGATGGATGGATGGATGGATGGATGGATGGATGGATGGATTTTTACATGTGACAGCAAGTCTGTACTATGAATTGCTCCGTTTATTTGAGGGAAAAGGACTGCGCTTAGCAACGTAAGAATGACAAAGATAATAGAATATAATTAGATTCAAGGGAGACTGCCGTGTATTTATAGAAAGCAGGAATTTCCTGTTTGCTTCATTGCAAAATTGATTATAGGAGACGTCATTTACCTATTGATAGATTATTTCCTTCTAAAAAGAGATTACAAGCGTGAAATACATGAACTATTCGGGGTTCCCTTAATGGACGTTGGTAATATGAGGGCTCGCGACCCTTAGTTTGCTCATTATTTGCGCAGGGCATGATATGTTAATGACAAGAAAGCGACGGTGAGAAACGTGACCGCTCATTCTCTGTCTGCAAGGGTGGTTCGTTGTGTGTATGGCGGCGGGGAGGGGGGGGGGTCGTCTGACGCAGCTCATCTTTGTTAATATAAGTTCACTCTCCTGGCGACTTGGGAGAACACGGACAGAGGAGCTACTGACGAGGAGAGTTTGCGGGGGCCAGGTGTGCAGCATTACCGCAAGGTGAGTTGACTGACGGCAAGCTGGCACGCAAACTTCAAGGAGGAAACAAACTTTTAGCATGATTTAAGTAAAAGATACGACATGTTAATTTACAGAAAGTATGTCTAAATAAGAATTGTCGTTATATTTGCTCCCCGCGACTCTCTGGATGGTATATTAGTAGGCAAATAAAGTTTACCAGGAAGTCGGTTTCCTATGGTGTTAGATTACAATTTAAGTTAATAGATATTTCAAAACACTTACTACACCAAACGGGACCAACATATAAGCCTAAACAGTTTAAACCATCTCAATAATTTTGTGCCAGTGAACGATGCTGATCTCCAGTCTCGTCTGCCCCGGGAGGGGGAGTCACCGGACGCCAGTCGGAGCGAGGCTGACGGGCGCCCAGCTGCTCCTGCTTTTGCTGCTGGTGGGTGTGACCTGCGCGTACGGCAGCACAGTCATACCCGAGCAACTCGACTTGCACAGCATCGATGACAGAGGTAACTTGTGACAATGAGCCGAAGGCTAGTGCTTAAGGAGCTGCATAAGCAAACCATATCCGGCACTGTCAGAAAAAAGGGCACGGCCCTGGTATAGTTTGGTTCCCTAAGGTACAAACTTCCTAAAAGTCAATTTATTTACCTCAAAAGGCACATTTTCCTATACAGCTAGGGTACAATTAGCAGACCTTTGAGGGCATAGTCGCAGTGACAAGTAATTATACCCACGAAGGTAAAAATTGGTACAGTGCGGGTTTAAATGCCGCGTGGAGAAAATCAAACGTTTTTAATGATGCGGTTTGCCATAGGCCTATGTTTTTTAACAGTGTAGATGTATTATGGCTAAGACATTTAAAATATTTTGCACGAAGATAGTGGCACATTAAGTGGTTTTGAGCGTGTTGTCCTGTTGGAGTTTTGCGTACGTTTAAAACGTGTTTTAACATACAAATATAATTTCTGTATCGTTACCCAATTGTTTTAATTTTCTTCCTTTTTGGGCTTTGATCGTCAGGTCCAGCGATAGATCCGTACTGGTACGTGGATCGGGGAGTGAGACCAATAGGCCGGTTCGGGAAACGGCAAAGCAGCGGTCCATCACTGGGATTTCTCTTCCGCATCTTGTGGGACCGAAAAGTTCGGGGTCTACAACGAGTTCAAGGCTCCGATTGGCTGTCATGATGACAGATGCTCTGCTTTGAATTTTTTAGTTGTTTCGTATGTTTTGTTTCCTTAATAATAATAATCTTGGAAGAGCATATATATATTAAAATTATTTATATTAAACTATAAACTATTCTCCGAGAAAGTATGACGTTCAGTGGTATACTGTTTATCAACACTGTGTGTGTATGTGTGTGTGTGTGTGTGTGTGTGTGTGTGTGTGTGTGTGAAACCTTTGTTCTTATAGCCTAAAACATTCCAGCGCTCGGAATTCTAAGAGATCAAATAATTTTAAATCAATTTCGACAACCTACCCTGTAAAATCGTGCTTTATGAGCAAAAATGTTTTAATTTCCTGCAAAATGTAGGAGAAACACTTCACAAACCAAAGGTAGGCTAATATATTTTAGATTACTGTATCCATATTCAACACTCCCTTATGCAAACAATTTTTACGTAGGCCTAAATATAATTGATTGTTACACGTGTTATTAGGGATGAAAGGGGAGCATTTTCAGACGCAAGTTTGTAAAACGACATTAATTTAAATGTGTTGCGAAAATAGATGAAGTACCTTTTCTAAATTACAAAAGCAGTTCTTAATGAATTAAAACGAACAGCATATTATAATCAAGGGCGTAACTTTGGCTGCAACATTGGGGGGGTTGAGGTCTCCACCCATTACGGGGGAAACATGATTATTGGGGGGGTTGTATTACCTGGTTTTGATTTATTGGGGGGGGGGGGCTACAACTCCCCCATCCCCCCCATAATTTACGCCCATGATTATAATACATAATGTCGGATGACAATGTCATATAAATTGAGTTTGTAATCATTATTATCAGGCCTAAACTACTATTGCCATCTAGACTTGGGCAAAAAGTAATTTCAAAAGCACGACTTATGTTTTTAATGTCGTACAGCTTTAAGATCAGGAGCGACTTGCCAAACCGTATTGAACCTAATATAAGACCGTAAACCGCTCGAAACACCCAAAAAGACAAAACAAGGCGACTTAGTCGGACAATTCTCACAGCAGAAAATCAAAGCCATTACGAAGTGCTAATGAAAGCTGCATAAACTTTATTAGATTTACATCTTGTCTTTCCACTGGTACAGCTTGGCACGTTTTAATACAGCAGCCCCATCTCAGTTTAATTTTTAATATTTTTAAATTTATAATTATATGATTGCGCTTAATTTCCTCACAGTGTGCGCAATTCGGTTCATTGTAAAAATTCGAGTTACATAGTACATGCTACAAACTTACCCCAGTGTATAAATTTTCCCTAATATTTTCATGTTCTTTAAATTTATAACTAAATGAGGATTTCTGAATAGTACACGTAAACGATTTATTAATACATCTTTTAATAAAGATTCATTTGAGATTAGACATGCCTTTTTATGTACAGGGGACCCACCGTTATATTTCGACTGGGAAAAATAATGGACGAAGTAAATGACCGTGTTACGCGCTCAGGCTTCAAACAATCACAACTGCGCGTTTTGACGAGCCGATATTTTACGCACGATAATGCAAATGAAATAATTAACGATGCATCGAGGAATTGAGTAAGGGCACTTGAAATCATCCATCAGTAAAACACCAACACCAACGTGTACGGGTCACCTGACAGCAGTGACATCCGAACAGGGCGTGGATAGAGAAGTAAATCAACTAGAAATATCATTGCGAGTAAATGGGGGGAATCAGACACAAGCAGTGCTTGTGCTTATGTTTGTGTCTATTTTTTGGCAAAACTGAATTCAGTTTGGAGGCTCACATTATGAAGCATAAGCAATTTCACTTAATTTGACCAGCAACACTGGAATCGCACACTGGCCGAGAAACGTGGGGAAGAACCTGTGAAGAGGGGAAAAGATAAGGGGAACGCCCTCTTAAAATGATGTTCTGGTTTAGAACTATCAGTCTGGCAGCTGTTACTGACGTAAACTGGGCAACTACGTCAAAGGTGGAGTCAATGGGACCGGAAGCCCCATCCTTTGGTCCCTTTGCAACGCGGTTGTGGTTCACATTAACCTGAGCCTCCAAACTTCCGGACCAGTGCTAACAGAGGCTATAGCCCTTCTTCATGTGAGTTCCATACGGGAAGGGGGCGTGGTTTATGGTGTTAAAAATAAACCCACAGCTACCTGTTTTCTAAGATAGGTTTACTTTCATGGGACATATTCATATTAATGAACATATTCATATTAATTTCTGTTCAAAACAACTGCGATGGGAATTATAACAAAACAGGATAAAACAAAATTTCATTTTTGGATATTGTGGATAAAAATATGATTCTGAATCATCTGTTCATGCTACACCATTTAAACGACACACAGGAGAATGGGGTTCTTCCTACAGTATAAAAAGTTCTTGTGATGGTATCCTGGCTGTAGGATCTGCAGCTGGAGTTAAGGCAGGAGACCTCCATCCCCTAGGTGTTGGGGGGGGGGGTTACTGAAATTGAAGCCAGGGTGTGCGCAGGGTCAAAGGCACTGGCTGGGGGAGGGCCTAGCTTCCAGCTCTGAAAGATCAGGTGAGAGAGAGCAGTGGTCAGACAGTGATGATGTAGCCCGATGGTAGCACTGAAACAGTGTTTCAATGGCCAATCAGGAAGTGCTTCCTTCCTGAATATTAACAAGACAACCCCTGCCATCCTACTCACTGGCCAATCCAGTAGCCTCCTTTATGAATATTAATGAGCCCTCACATCCATCCTATATTTGCTATATGCCCATGATCGTGGTGCATGAATTCAGCTGTTCATCCCGTGTTAATCCTGTTATATAAATGTTCCTGCCATAACACAATGAAGCAAACTGACCCCATGTGACTGGTTAAAACTCCATAAAAACTGCATAAATGATGCAGCTGTTAATTAACAGTTAAATAAGTGACAATGAGGAACCATTCAGATATTTTACCAGAACAAACTGACAAAAGTTTGACTGCCAAAATTGCATAACAAAAAAACAAACAAATCCTGAGAGACCCAGAAAAAAATGCTGGAAATCATTCAGGGAGCCTGGTTACAAGCTGGATGCAACGCGACTATTTTCATATCAGCTCTACGGCTGAAGTGAGTCACTAATGCATCAGAGGCGTCTGTCAAAACCATTGAGAAAATCAGCTGGAGTGAGTCTTTAATCACCGAGCCTTTCAGCGGCTGTGGAATCAGCCCTGGCACGGCAGGGCCAGCCTCGAAGACAGCAAGCCTCATTACAGCAGGCTGCCGCGTGTCTCCATGTCCGCTTTCCCACACGTTTCATCCGAGTGTGAGGGGGGCAGTCAGGATTTAGCAGGGTCCAGGCAATGGACACCTCGTTCTCATGTTTTTACCTTAATGACAGAAAGTACCGGATTTCAGGCAGTTTCACAGGCAGTCCCGGATTCTGCAGGACCCGTAGCACTGCGTAGTCCTGTAAACATGGGGGCACCCACTGTGCACGGCCAAAGCGTTAGCATCCGGACGCCATGTTTGTTGTTTCTGGGGTCCAACTCAAAAATTCACTTCTGGGCCTCCCCAGCTGTCTGTGCTTATAAAGTTTGTTGCATCCACATGAGGCATTTCATTGTTTGCGGTGAAGAAACTGGTCAGCTAAGTTTCTATTAGACCCTTCCTCTCTTTGATTCTCTTTCTTTTCATGACACCAGTGGGATATGATCTCTACCCGGCTGCGTATAATGTTAAGCTTAGGCTGCTTCAGCGTCTCTTAAATAAGGAACATGTTTATTAAATCTTTAGTGTAGTGAATGTTTGTGGCCAGCAGGAGGCCCCCAAACCAGGCGCCTGACATAAATGCTTGTTTTAGCTGTGGTAAATACCACTGCTGGCTGTGTTTCCCCAGTGGCTGCTTATGAATACATCAAAACACGGGTAAATGACGGATTAAGCACATCGTACCTCATTGAGGGGGAGTGGGCAGCTTCCTCCGCTGATGCCGGGTGGAGTCGATGGTGTGAGGCTGGGCAGAGGACCCCCCTGCGAAGGTCAGCGTGAACGGCAAGCGAGACGCCGCCTTGGGCTGTGGCCTGGTGCTGGGCTGCTGTTGCTGCTGCTGTGCACTGTGGGCCACGTTCAGGCCGGCGGACTTGAGAGCTGAGATCCGCGCCGCGATCCCAGACACCTGGAGCCCACGAGGACAGACAGACGGGCGTTACGGGCGAGGGAGCCTTTGTTCCTGGGACAGAGCCTCCCGCATGCCAGCTACGCACCTGCAGGTCTGACTGCTGTACCTGCGCTGCCGCGCTCGCCACCTGCTCCTCCAGCTGCGCCAGCTCCTCGTCCGTGCTGCCGCTGCCGATGTCGCGTGCGCACTCCTCCAGCTCACGCAGCTCACCCTCCAGCCTGAACACTGCCCCGGCGGCCAGGTACACCTGCAATGGGCGGGGTCTGCCGTCACACCTTCCTGAGTTTCTCTAGTGCAGTGTATCCCAATCGGGTCCCTGGGGACCCACAGACGGTCCACATTTTTGCTCCTACCCAGCTCCCTGCCAGACAGTAGGCCTACATGTTTTTGCTCCCCAGGGGAGCTGGGAGGGAGCAAAAACGTGGACCGTCTCTGGGTCCTCGGGGACCGGATTGGGAAACACTGCTCTAGGTTATGTTGGTACTGTGCCAACATTCATTCTGGATATTGTGTCTGTACTGGGTGACCCTAAATTTCAGTACCTGTTTGACTTTACTCTTCTGAGCATGCAAGCTGTCCAGGGCTCTGTACCATGTCTGCTGTGAAGCACAACTCACTATGAATAACAGTATGCATTAGGCTGAAAGTGTGAACCCGTTTGTCTGTACTGATCATTTCCATGTATCTGTACTCCATGTATATGAGTGTATTACTGGTCTCTCTGTACTCTGTGACCCTGAATGACTCTGTGTGTTTGTTCTCTGTGTCTGTACTCCGCCCCTCACGACTCTCCCCGCCCCCCATTGTTCATGGGGGGGGTATGAGGGATCCATACATTCTCCTCCAGGCTGAGAAGCTGCTCGTCCAGCCTTATGTCCCCATGGCTGGCAGGTCCAGGGGCGGTGCCGCCCGGTTGGGGCGGGTCGGTGGGCGTGTCCATGGGGTGGGGCTTGCCCTCCACCTCCTCGAGTAGGTCTTCCGTAGCATTCAGCACCCTCAGCACCTCGGTGGTTATGCTGCACAGCGATGCGGCCGAGTACTTCTGGCTCACACCAACACAAAGACACATGGAAGGGGGCGTGGTTATACAAGGGGAGGGGTCACGAGATGGGCGGGGCTCAGTTTAAGTCTGACAGTCACAGTCCCCAAGGTAGCTACTCCCGGAAATATAAAAATTCAATCAGAAAGGGGATACTTTCATCTGGAATGCCTGGCGTGTGTCAGAGGTGGAAAGTTCAGGTCCAGAAAGTACAAATCCAGACCAAGATTCTGTTTCAATCAACCAGCTGAGTATACAGAATCACATTCACAGAGTACTCAATTAGTTGGCTAAAATAAAATCTTGGTCTGGATTTATACTTTCTGAACCTGAACTATCCACCTCTGGTGCATCTATACCCCATCATTCATCAAAAAAACACATTCACATCTGTACAAAATACTCATCATTCTAGACTTAGCAGGTTAATCATGAGGACTGGCATAGGTCAAGTTGTTAGACAATTTTTCCAGATCGTTTTTCTAGTGCCGGATTTCTAGCACTGTGCTCTACATCACAGATAAAGTTTCATCTACAGACACTGTCCGTCAAAACTGCCAAAGTTGACACACCTGCAATCGGTCTAATGGGTCTGGCTTTATATTCTGATTTATACTTTTAAATATTAAGATCATTTTAAATATGAATATTTAAAAACTGTATTTTCTAAGACAGGAATTCATCCAGTTTTCCAGCTATAATTAAAACTCCAAGAAAAAGCAGTAATGTCTGCATCCTGCATTCAGCCTTGGGCGTCAGAGTGGCGATGCTGTGCCGTCCATTATGGGCTGCTAATTGCCATCTGAAGGACATTCAGATATTTTTGTTTCACCGTGCTTGAAGGTCTCTTAGCACCTTGCACCATTAGTTAAAAGCATTCTGAATGGGCGACTCCGAGGCGGACAGACGAATGAATGAATCACAACACTATCGCACAATGTATCACGGCCCAGCGAACTTAACGACCCCTTCAAAGGGGTTCTGCAAGAGAAAAGGCCAAGATGAAAGCTTGGGAGAAGCTTCAGAAGTGCCACCCTGTCACATCCGAGGTGTCACGTGTCCTAGTTTTGGGTCTCACTTGCAGTAACAGGGAGGACAGAGCCTGCCACTCCTGCTCAAAGTCCGAACCGTTCTGTCCTTCCTGACCATCAAGTGACGGAGGAGAGATCAATGAGGGATGGAGGGATGGAGGGAGGGAGAAGAAGGAGAAGGTTGAAGGTTAGTGAAAGTTGAAGGCTTAAAGAGAAAGTCAGCTGAGAAAGAAACGTTTGCGGTCCTTAGCTAGTTAGGTAGTAGGTGGACCAATTTTAAAGGTGAAGAAGGTGAAGGAGAACTCTTAGTGCTGCTAACTTTGGATTGGCTGAGGCAAGGAGTAATTTGAAAGGTTCATTCTCTGTATTAGCTGATGGGAGTAAGGATAATGGGACTTACTCTGCGGATATCCTCGGCAGACATGTAATCCAGGGCTGAGGGGCTTCCTTCCTCGATGGTCGCTATGGGTCCAACCTCCTCCCCATCGTCTTTTCTAGCTTTCTTTCCTAGCCTCTCTCTTCTCTTGGTCAGTCTCGCTGTCTCCGTTTCGAGACCCTGTTCCTCCTCTTCGGTTAGCGATTCTTCTTCCTTTTTGCCTGCTAACACTTTGAGCTTCCCAGCACCTTGTCCCTCACGCTCTGCCACACTCCCCGCTAGATGTTCACTTTCAGGTCGGCCTTCTTCTTCGTCTTCAGACTCCATGTTTCCTTCGGCCAGCAGCTCAGCTCTCCTGCTTTCCTCTAATTCTGAGTGCCTCTTTGCCTCCCATCCGACTTCTTCCTCTGGTTCACGATCCTCTAGTTCCATACGTCTTTCAGCTTCAGTTTGAAGGTCTTTCCCATCCCTTGTTGTTCCAGGTCGCTCTTCCTCCTTCCCAGTCTGTCTCCCTCCATCTGCCACCCTGAGCTTAGCTGCCTTTTCTTTAACCTGAAACAGCCTTTTTGTTTCTCCGCCTTTTTCTGACTCTACGGCGACGCGTTTCTCATCTTCTGATGCCCCCAGTCTGCCAGTCTCCACCTCCCCCTGTCTCTCCCCATCAGCCTTCTCCGTTCCCTCAGCATCTCTCTGACTTCCTCTTTGCGGATCTACCTCAACGTTGGTCTTCCTGATAGCTTCTCTCCCTCCTCCTGTCACTAATTTCCAGTACTCAGTTGACTCATCCCTATCTACACTCATCTCTTGGTATTTCTTCAGAACTCCTTCATCCATTACCTCGACCCGGCTCTCCTCCACCATCCTTGGCTCCCCAGCTTCTGTTCCCTCCTTATGGACAAATCTCTCCACAATCTTCTCTCCCGCATCCATTACCTGTCTCTTTTGGTCTCGTTGTTGACCCCCGACATTCATCTTGATCTCTGTCTCTTCCATTCCACCAAACCCCTCCGACTGGCCGGATCTACGTCCCGAAGTCTCTCTTGCTGGTGTCTTAACTGCCTCCCCCACGGCCACGGGCTCAAAGCCGCCAGCGCCAGGGGACACGGTTACGGTATCCAAGGTGTCAGAGATCACAGCATCACCAGGCACGGGCTGAAGAGCTGATTGGCTCACGGGAGCTGTGCTTTCTTTCTTCTTGCTCTTCCTCTTGAAGGCGCTGACTAGGAAGTTGCTGTATTCCTGTGGGTAGCCAGGAACTCAGTTAATCACCAAAAAAGTAACCCCAACGTTAACCTCTTTAGGGTCAATCCTGAAATTGAAGTGTTTTTAAGGTTTATTTTTTCCAATTTTAACTGTCCCCAGAACTACTGTAATAATTTAATATGAGCGCATTAGTAGGTAATTATATACAGTGTTGATCGCTCTAACCTTCTAGACAAAGTGTTTCTACCGAGTTACAACCCACATCAGAATAAACATAATTTTAATACATTGCCAATAATCTTTAAAACTCAGAGACTTTTTGATTATAAATATTGGGTCTTTATGGATTAGTCATATACAGTCCTAAAGGACACACATTCATGTAGACCTGGGTTTGTACATTTAGGTTATTCTGCGCAGTGGTTAGCACTGTTGCCTCACACCTCTGGGACCTGGGTTCGAGTCTCTGCCCGGGTTACCGGGATAGGCTCTGGACCCCCCCGCGACCCAGAAGGATAAGCGGTTTGGAAAATGGATGGATGTAATTAAAGCAGCCTTAAACATTGTGAAAAGGGAGCTGAAAATGCAAAAGATTATACAGGGCAGCTCCTATATGATCAGGGGGTTGTGTAAGTAGCTTATTGAAAGCTACTCTCTTTCTACAAGCAATGTGTAGCATGAATGAGACTGAGGCTAGTCAATCTAGTGCTGCCAGCTAGTGGCAGAATAAAATCCTGCCCTGTCAAGTGCCGCATCAACTGAGTGACCACAGAAAATGAATTTTGAAAAAGGGGCGACAGCCGCTGGTTAGCAAGATGCTAACCTGTGATAGTAAGAGCCTAAATGTCGGAGTGGTGCATTATGGGAAGCCTTTATTACTCACCGGGGCAGAAGACGAGTGCTCCACCTGATCCCCAGCCTCCCGTCTGCTCTTCTTGTGCCTGCGAGACCTCCTGACCCGATCACCCTGCCCATCCTCCGGCTTGCCGCTGCAGTCCACGGGCGTACTCCCAGATGCCTCTAGGGGGCGAGGTGACCGATGCTGTCGGACCTTCCTCCGCAGGCTTGACATCAGCTGCTTGCTAGACTTGGGGGGGCTGCCCTGGGTGGAGGTGTCCAGGTCTGCGAGCGAGCCCGGCGGGGTGGGGCCCGAGTGTGGGTCGACCGCGTCGGTCCACTCGGGCTCCCGCTGCAGCACCTTCTTGCGGATCTCCTGCAGGGCGGCGCCACTTGCTCCGTCACCCTCGCTGCCCGAGCCCATGTCGTCGTAGGCTGACACGGCCCCGGACTCCTGCTCCAGGGCGCTGAACACCATGCTCTTACACTTAGTCAGCAGGCGGGGGCGCTGTTTACTCTGCAGGGCAATCCAGTTTCCATCGGGGCTTTGCAGCACTGACGACATGCCTCCAGGCAGACAAAAGACACAGTGAGGAGCTGCTTAGTCACAAGGACACGCCTCATAGAGCCACATAACAAATGCACACATCTGAAATTTACTACTAAGATACTACTACTGGGTGTCTCTCATGGGATAAGCTCCAAACTCACTGTAGCTCAACAAGTAGTGTATTGTGCTAACAGGGCAAAGGCTGTGGATTCAAATTTCTGGGAGCTCATATAAATGATAACACTCCCCGCTATTATAAGTTGCTTTGGTTAAAAGTATCAAATACACTGTTGATGGCAGGTTCTGCTATTACAGTGTAGACAGTGCCGGGGAAGTTACTCACCAAAGTAATCCATTACAGATAAATTTAGGTCCAGAAAGTACAAATCCAGACCAAGGTTTTGTTTCAACCACAATCACAGAGTACTGAACTGGTTGGTTGAAAAAAAACCTTGGCCTGAATTTGTACTTTCGGGACCTGAACTTGTCTGTAATGGAGTAACTCGGTGAGTAACTTCTCCATCATTAATTTCTCATAACATCAATATGACTGTGTGTGTCCACTGATGGATTGGCATCCCATCCAGGATGTCTGCCTAGGAAAGACTCCAGGACCCCCTGAGACTCTGACCAGGGTAAGAGGTTGGAAGATGGATTGACAGACTGTAACTGCAACCACAGAAGAATATGCAGTGAGCAGTGTGACGCTGGTCCTCACTGGAGTTGTCCAGCTGGTCGACACTCTTCCAGCTGGCCAGGGAGGTGCCCGTGTCTCTCTTCAGCGAGCTGTAGTCCCTGACAGCCATCCGCGCCCAGCCCCAGTCGTCGGGCCCCGGGTCCCCGTCAGGGGCCTCCTCGCCGGCGCTCGTCAGGGAGAAGGCCGACCGTGACCTCTGCGAGCCGACACACACATTAACATTAACGAAATGGCCATGCAGACTTATTTATAACGATGCCACAGATTCCGTGCTACCACTAAGTCCTTTTCCAGCACACCAAGAACGAGCGTGAGCGCATAACCAAAATTTGCCAGCAGGTGGCAGCACGTCGCCACAAACTAACAACCTGAGTGCCGCAGACAATCGGAGGCGGTAAATCCGAAGGTTCTGGGTCTTATTCTGATGCCTGCAGACTTGGGGTGAGGGGTTATAGTCCTTACCCAGAGGGACTGGGCGGCTTTCAGGCGGGCCTGCGAGGGCAGAGTGCTCTGCTGGGACAGGGATGGGGGAGGGGAGGCGCCCTCGCCGTCCTGAGCGGGCAGCTCCAGCTTTCTCCTGCGGTGTATGATCTGTGACACGGAGAGATCAACCCTGCAGTCATATGTATGCATAAAGGTAAAGCATAACAGTGGGGCCCATTGAGCCATGGCAGATTATCTGGCACTATCAACACAATAGTGATTAGCACTAACAATTAACAGTGAATGTTACCTAACTGTCCCAGTCACTGTATTCCACTGTATCAGCTGCAGGCCTGGCAGTGGGCAGCTCACCTTCTGCACAATGGACGTGGCCAGTTCCTCAATCAGCTCCTCCTTGTTTTCTCGCAGGTAATGAGCTTCATTTCTCTTCTATAAAAACAATGATAGCGTCACAGCTGCTACACATATGCACATTGAACACCTGGTGCTCGTTCATCTGCAGTGCCCCCTAGTGTCTAAATGTTTGGCCTGCGCTTCCATGCTGTTTTAGGTGTGTCTGACTGGGCACTTGAGTGTTACACACTATGGAAGAGTGGCGTGCAGGAGAAAGGAGTGCATATTAGGAGGGGTGTGACGGCAGAGAGGTGAACACAGGGAAGCTCTCACTCACCAGGCTGTCACAGTGCTCCTCAGCTCTGGTGATGGAGTCTTCTACCGCCTCTTCAGCCACTCGCAGGGCAACGTGCAGCGTCTCGGATATGCTGTACTCTGGGGTATACACACACACACACACACACACACACATGCAGACACACATAGACACACGCACACATGCCTGAATATTAACTGCTTCACACTACTAGACACTGCAGCCCACAAACTGAAAAACTAATGTACTATAAGGATGTACTGATAATTTATAAATATATAATTAAATCGTATGATATATAATTAAAATACATAATTATATAATTAAATTATAATATATCATTTAAAATAAAACATATAACATTCCTAAAATACATACATGCATACTTTGAAGTTACAAGACTATACAGTTTAATTTTTTTTATTTCTAATATGATTCTGACAAAAATACATCCGGATCAGGCTGCAGTCCAACACAAATGGTGAAACAACGTGGGACATTAATGGGAAGTTCTTGGCTAAACACACCGGCCACAGCCCGGACAGGAGGAAGTATCAGCACCAGAGCTGCGGACAGCTCCTTGAACTCCGTTATCCCCATCGGACTTGGGCGGAGACGGTCAGGAACCTCCGACCAAGACGCAGCCGGCTCATGTGAAAAGAGCGCCAGAAGGGACCGGAATGCTGGGCCAGGAAGCCTCCCACTCACCACCAGCGGCAGTGAGGGAAGCCGGGACGCAAACTCACCGTAAACCGGCAACGTGGCAGGCGGGAAAATGCGCTTCGTCTGGATTTTATAGCGGGGAGGTTTATTATTGTTGTCCGCATGTGTCCCTATGATACGTCTGGCAGTAGAAAGCAGCGATGCTGGATTTATTTTCTGGTGTTTTTATAGCGGGCCTCCCTGAACCCCTGACAGCAGCCATAATTACGTGTTTGTACTTAGACACAAGAGGCTCCCACACATGAGTGGGACTAGTCTCTGAGAGCGGGACCAAAAACACAACAATAAGGTGGAAGTGCAAGCAAGACATACTCATTCATGTAGAAGATACTCACATCCAGACCAACGCTTTTATTTAAGTTCTGGCTAAACAGTCATAAAGTGAGTGTTTAAGGGTCAAACAGCAGGTACCAACAATCTGGAAACAGGTGGCCCTTCTGCAGCTGACCTTACCTTCGCTTTGTTTGTAGAACGTCAGATCACTGACGCTCCCCTCGTTGCCCATGCTTTCTTCATAGGCATTGGCCCCTACAAGCATAGTGAGAGAGACCCACTTATGCAAGATCATCATCACATACACATCATCATCAACATCAAACCCACAAGATCATCAACATCAAACCCACAGATCAGCATCAAACCCACGGGATCATCAACATCAAACCCACAGATCAGCATCAAACCCAGGGGATCATCAACATCAAACCCACATGACAGTCATCAAATGGCCGGGGTCAGCAACCTGTTAGGGCAGCTTTGTGGTTTATATCTTTACCTCACATCTTACGCGAATTATCGAAGGAATTTATTGCCTGTCTGTTCATTTGTGCAGCGGGTCACCTGCCATCTCTTGGGTACAGGTTAAAACCTGCACGTCTGAGGAACGCTGGCTTGGAGGGGCTGGGCTGATTTTGCATTTGATTCCTAATAATGACATTTCAACACAGGAGTCGCAAAACCGATGAGGAAATGAAAGATTACGACATACGGCGGTGAACTTTCCAGGCTGGTGTGCATGACTGCACGTAAACGGACTGTGGTTTGCAGTGTTGAGTGGCTGCCATCAGGCCGGCTCTGCCTTCTGGTGGCATATTGCCCCCCCCCCCCCCCCCCCCAGCTCACAGTACAGTGGGGGAGGGGTGGGGGGTTGTGGTTCTGGGACTGAAATGTTGTGACTGAGGTGGGCTTGGATCTTCCGATCGCCTCACATCCCTAATGCACAGCTAGAAAAATAGCCATAAGTCTTACCAGCCCCCCCCCCCACATATCAGCCTGTAACATCGGCCGAAATCCAGTGGGGGTGTTAAGGCTGCAGAAAGCTTCCACAGACAACTGACGGATAAACAAACCACCACACACGAAATGTAAGACCTCCCTGTTCTAATGAGAAACAGTCAACAGGCAGATTCCAAACAGGAGGTCAGGGAACAACATGACATATGGATTCACACAGGACTTAAGGCCTGTCCCTGGT